CAATTATTTTCTCCAGATTTTTTTAAGGAAGAAAACAGACTTTTCAAATGACAAGTAAAGAAGTTTGACTTTGATTTCTGGGAAATTTTAGGACATATTATTAAATGTATGTTCAGTGAATACCTATAAAAGTATACAATTACAAAAAAACTGGCATAGCTTCAAGAAGAATTCACTCAAGACTAATCTTATTTTTGTTGCAAAAAGGTTATTACCATAGACATACAGAGAACTAGAGCAGGTGTGCTGGCACATCCTAATGGCATATTCCCATTGGCCCTTCCTTTTCTCCTGAGGACAAAAACAAACAAACAAAAAATGTTACCCCTCCCCCTCTAGCCCACCCTGTATGTAGCCTATTCCTAGACTAATAGATGAGGGGGAAGTTGTAGATATAGTTTACCCACATTTCAGCAAAGTATTTAATAAAGTCATCCACATTATGTTTGTGAGGAAATGGAAAGCTAGATGATTTAGGAACTGGTCAAATGTCTGAACTATTAGAGTAATCATTAATGGTTCCATTTCAACTTGGAAGGAACTCTCCAAAAGAAGTGCTTTAAGGAGCCTGGTTCCATGTAGTATAAAGATTTTATTCATGACAAGGATAAAGGTAGAGATTTTATGCTTATCAAATCTGTAGATGGTACCATGCTTGGAGGGATAGCTGCTGATGGAAAATAGAACATGAACTCCTCGAAAACAGGAACTCTTTTTGATTTTCTTTGTATGAACAGCACTTAGCCCATTGACTGGCACGTAGTAAGTGCTTCATAAAGGTTTGTTGACTAGTGGCTGACTGACTGTATTATATGCAATAACAAGAAAGAGCCCCTGAGATGAATAGACTTCTGCTCTAGGAAGATTATTTTGGAAGCTATGTGAAAGCTGGATTTGGGAGTTGCTACAATATAATCCTGGTAAATAGTGATGGGGCAGCATAGGGGGCACAGTGGATAGAGTTCTAGGCTTGGAGTCAAGAAGATTTACCTTCCTGAATTCAAATCTGGCCTCAGATACTTACTAGCTGAGTGACCCTGGGCAAGTCACTTAACCCTATTTGCCTCAGTTCTTCAACTGTAAAATGAGCTGGAGAAGGAAACCATTCTAGTATCTTTGCCAAGAAAACTCCAAATGGAGTCACAAAGAGTCAAATACAACTGAAACAATTAAACAACAAAAGCAGTGATAAGGCCTGACCTAAGATAGTGGCAGAATGATTGGAGATGGTTTAGGGGAACTGCTGGAACACAAGCAACATAATCTGGAAAATACTAGGAAGTGTTACGGAAACCTGGTTCTGGACAAGATGAGGTGAAAACTGACTATCAAGCAAGCAAGCAATAAACATTTATACTAAGGGCCTACTACTGCCAGGCACTGTGCTAAGTACTGGGGATACTAAAAGAGGCAAAAGAGTCCCTGCCCTTAAGAAGCGTATGATCTAGTGGAGGAGACAACTTGCAAACAAATAATTACAAAGGAAGCTATATATTAGAAACATAGAGGGAAAGGACTAGAATTAAGAGGCACTGGGAAGGCTTCTGGTAGAAGGTAGGATTTTGGTTGGGACTTAAAGGAAGCCAAGGAGGCCAGTAGTCAGAGAGGAGGAAGGAAAGCATCAGCCAGAGAAAATGCCCAGAGCCAAGAGATGGAGTATCTTGTTCCTGGAACAACCAGAAGGTCAGTGACTTTGGATCAAATAGTACATGTCAGGGAGTAAGGTATAAGAGGACTGGAAAGACTGGAAAGGAGGGGGCTACGTTATGAACAGCTTTGGATGGCAAACAGAGCATTTCATATCTGATCCTGAGGCAATAGGGAGCCACTGCAGACTCAGAGTCAGAGTCCAGGTGATTCCAGTGGGAGAGGTTTGAGAAGTATGGCCAGAGTGAAAGTAGGGTGATCTAGAAATGTCCAGGAAATGGAACATCATGCACTCTAAAGAACCCTAAAAACTGTTACCTATAGCACAGACTTTTTCCATGTATTCCTGGTCTGGTTCAAGTGCTCTTCTGGTCTACTTTAGTATCTTTCCATTTCCTTACATAGCACAGAATAAAATGCCTCAGCTCCACGGACAGTTATAAACCAAATGGTATACAATAGAAATGACAGATCTGTTCCAATTTTTATCCATCTGTTGTCTTTCTAAATTCAACATTAAATACTTTGGGGAAGATTTTGCTAAACTGGATCACACATCAACTTCTACACAAACTTGTTTCTTCCTCTATCACTTCTTGCTGCTCAGTGCAATGTTCTTTAATCTCCTTCCATAAGGTGTTGCAAATTTTTTTTCTGCTTGAAATCATTATTATCATTAACTGTCATGTATCCACCTGGCAAGGAGGACAATTTTTTACTGACTGATACAGTCTTCAGGCTCTTCAGATACTCTCATTGTGTTAATTTCTTTACATCAGTTAAACTGCCTTAGGAAATGATGATAATGTATGTCCATATCCTTTCCTGTATCCATTTCTCACTTTTTCACAACCTGTTTTGAATAGTTCAGGTTAAATCTATCATGATTAAACAGTGTGTTTTATTCTAACCCTTCTTCCCACTTAGTGCTAATTTTGATGATGATCAAATTGAACACAGACAGCCAATGCACAAATGACTCACACATTGGCAGCTATTCATTTCCTGCATGTCACGTGAGTCAATTTCATTTTTTGGTGATGTTGCACCCTTCAAATTTCATTCCAAAGAAAATAGTTGGGATATGTAGGCATGACTACCCTTTATACTATTCAAAGTACTTGGCCTCATTTGTTTCTTAATCTTTAATCATGTTCATCATGAGCACTAAAAGGCTACAAGTGTCCAACGAAATGATGCTTTCCATTGCTACTGGATACATAAAATCAACTCCAACAATTCTATTTCTTGCTCCAAGAGAATTCATGTGCTATCGTTTCAATCAGCTACCATCTTCATACCCTCTAGTTTTATTCACTGTGAGAATGTCAACAGCATATGATTTAATTCCTCCAGTACTGTAGTAATTCCTTGGTTATTAGCATAGTGTATTTAGAGTGTCAACAACAAGATTCATCACTTTAAGGAAAGTCTAAAAAAATTTTGATTCTTAGAACCCCTTGTCCTCTTTTTCTGCCACGCTACTGTGGAAGGAGAAGATGGATATACAGGACTAACATTCCCCACTGGATTGTAAGCTTCTTGAGGGCAAAAATTGCCTTTCTCCTCTTTTTGTATCCCTAACGCTTAGCACAACATTTGGCATGTAGTAGGCATTCAATAAATATTTATTGGCTGACTGACTGAGGGTCATGTTATGTTTTTCTTTGTTTCATAGTTTTCCATAGCCAAAGAACTTATCATATGGTGACTACACTACTCATACTGAATCTTGCCATACTTAGCTACCCTGGTCCTTAGTAACAGTCTGACACTATACTCAAGTATGTTACTATATAACTAACCTTAAAATGCAGTTTTCCAGAGGGCAATTAACAATAGATTCTACTATATTTTTTAAGCTTGTTTTATACTTTGTTCAAAAACATTTTGGAAACTTGTTTCCTTTCTGATCCTCCACTGGCATGCTGGCTTGTGACACTTAGCATGTCCTGGTGGGCAGCCAAAATGATCTTGATCAGTGACTCACCTTTCTTTATAAGCCCACTCCTGGCAAAGTAGCAATTGGCAGAAGGTTCATGCCAGATGCTCATCCCTGGAACTCTAGTGTGAGAATTCCAAGCTTTACAAAGGGCAGATGAGGTGACCATCTTAGATTTAATTTCTACTCAAGGAGTTCCCTGAACGTGAAAGTTGGGCCATCTTGAGGTAAACTGATTTTTTTTTACATTTTTTCACTACTAACCAAGAGGGAAAACTAGAAAGAGCAGAATTTCTTTTCTGTTGTTCTTGGTAGTTTTCCAAAGATAAAATGTTTTTCAATAACCAAATCAAAATTAACCGTCATTCTAGCCTACAAACCCCAAAATTCCTACACAGGTTGACCTTGAACAACTTAGTGGGGAAAAAAAGCTACCACCCTTTGGGAATGAAAGAAAACAAAGGAAGAAAATAATCTACAATGGTTAGCATTTCTATTTTCATTTTCAGCCTAGAATGTTGTATTTCCTGTGACAAGAAAGAGTACTAATGTAATTACAATGTTCGGGTCCTAAACCCAGACCTGCCTCATAGGGTTTTCTTTCACTCAGCATAAGCCATCTGTATAGGGGTTTCCTTCAATTAAAACAATGACTAAAACCTATTCTTTGTGGCTTTTAATTCTTTCCTTCATTCCACTCAAGAACAGTAATGAATAGAAAATATATTGTATTACACAGAATCCTAGCACAGGAAGGGATTTCTAGTTTTGAAAGTTACATTTCAAATACCACGAAATACCTACTTTTCTCCTTCCTCTGGGATCATGCACACCTCTCTAAGATTGGAATGCTTTTAAAAATTGAAGAAAGGCTTGTCAGGTATCATGATTGAGAAACAACAAAAACAAAGGCAACTATCCTGCTATTGCCTTAAGTGTCTTTAGGTTACTATTTATAAACATTTAATCTGTTGCCATAAAACAACCATGAGACATATGTAGAAAGATTAAAACACCAAATGTTTTACATTTGTATGTCTTATAGTGATCTTTAAATTATGAGGGATTTTTTTTCTTATCAGTATAATGCCTCAGTATAAAGCAGAAGACCTCCTTTTTGACTTATCTCATTATGTACGTAGTTTAATTTTCACATTGAACCCAGAGCACCAACTATGACTTACTGCCAGCACCTTTGCACCTAGGAGCCTTCCAGAGTTGCCAGAAGTGCCCCTAAAACTTCACAGAGGCTATCATCAAACCAGGCATGCTTCTTTTCTCTATGTACTCATCAAGTGAAGCATATATTGTCTGAACTCAAGCAGTAGACATTCATGGTTGTCTAATCAGTCATGCCCAGTTTTCTCAAACTATCACTCTTTAGATAGTTTCAAATTTTTTAAAAAATTACCTCGTTCGGTTATTTGTGAATATCCTTTACCTGGGGGGAAAAAAAGAGAAGAAAAAGAAAAATGAGCACACTTGCTTAAAATTAATTTCTTACTTTTCCCTCAGTGCAATGCATCCAAAGAAGTGAAACTTACTGAATCAAGTTTAATGACATAATAAATTCTTCCCTTCAGACAATGCTGAGGCTTAATTCACTAGTGCACTTTAAGCTTTTGCCTTTAGCATCTGATGGGTCATTAGTCTGTAATCTAGCAGCCTGACTACTTGGAGTCTAAACTAAATCAGTGAGTACCAAATCAGGAGTTTCTGAAATATGACCAGCAGGTCAAGTGTCCTCCAAAAGACTGCCTGGGGCATCCCAGATGGGGGATAGGGCATAACAAGGAACAAAGTAGGACAGAATCTGATGCCTCTACTGACTAAAGACTTCATTCATTCTAACTCACTAAGCAACAGTTCCTCAAATGACTTGACTTCTATTTTTGATGAATTCAGCCAGTAGGTCATGCAACAAAATTGGTCAGTGTATGCCAATAGGCTTAACATACATTATCATTGAGTTGAACATATTTTGTTCACATTTTTACCCTGAGAATCTTCGCCTAATATCCCTGAACAGGACATGATATGCCCACAGGCAATAAAAATAGAGTAGTGTGTCTAGCATCTGAACTGCTATGTGCTTAATAAAATAGTCTTCTCTATGCTCATTTGAATAATAATTCAATCACCATAGTTCTTTAAGAACATAAGGTTCTACTCCTTCACATAGAGAAGGTCACAAGATTACATGATTCAGAGCTGGAAAGAATCTTAGCATTCAGAGTTCAAACTTGTCATTTTACAGATGAGGAAAGTGAAGCCCAGAGAGGTTAAGCGATTAAGCTTTACTTTCCCAAAATCACAGAGGTAGGAAGTGGCAGAGCTGGAAGTTGAACTCAGGTCCTCTGACTCCAAACCATTCCACAATACCATATTGCACTTTCTCTACAGCCAGCCTTTGATGTAGGTAGTGACAATCATTTTATTGATAGGGAAACAGATTCAGAGAGGTTTTATGATTTGTATAGGTTATCTGACTAGTTGTAGAAGAGTCAGAATTCAAATCCAGGTCTCTAGACTCTAGGTCAAGTGATCTTTCTACTATAGCAATCTGCCTTAAGGTTGGAGTGACTGGGTTCAAATCCTGTCTGACATCTACTAGCTGTGTGACAAGGGGTAGGTAAATCATTTAACCTTTCTGATCCTCAGTTTGCTTATCTGTAAAACTGAAACAATAACTCTAGTAACTTCCTCAAGAGCTTGTTATAAGGCTCAAATAAGAGAATGCATGTCAAAATAACATAAAGTCAAGTCAATGTTCATTTATTAAGCACCTACTATGTGCCTAGCAGTGTGCTAAGCGCTGGGGATATGAGGGGGGAAGCTGAAGTCCCTGCTTTGAGGAATTCATAGTCTAATGGAGAAAACAACATGAAAACAACAGGACAAGTTGTAGGTGATATTAGATGGAAGTCACTAAGGTTAAGGAGGACCAGGAAGGGATTCTTGCAAAAGATGTGCTTTTAGGTAGGTTTAGGTAGGGTGAAAGAAGCCAGGAGATTGAGACAAGGAAGAATAGTGTTACAAGCATAAAGACAGCTAGTAAAAATGACTGTGTGTCATGTGAGGAACAACAAGGAGGACAATTCCCCAGATCCTAGAATTTGTGGAAGGAAGGAAGGTATGAGAAGAATGGCAAGGTAGGAAGGGACCAGATTATGGAAGGCTTCTAACAACAAATAGAGGATTTTACATTTGATTCTGGGGATTAAAGAGGTTACTGCAGTATATTCGGTGAAGAGACGAGAGGAATGCCATGGTCAGAGCCACATTTTCAAAAAAAAAAAACACTGACAATTGTGTGGAGGATGGATTTGAGTGGGGAGAGAATTGAGACTGAGAGATCATTTAGAAAGCTATTACAACAATCCAATCGAGAAATAATGAGACTCTCAACTAGAATGGTAGTTGTGTGAGTGGAGAGAAGGGAATGCATATGAGAGATGTTGTGAAAGTGAAACTGACAAGATTTGGCAATTACGAGGCAGAGAGTAAGGAGTGGAGGGAGGCACTGAGGTTGCAAACTTGAGTGACTGGGACCATGTCAGTACCCTGAACAGTAATAGAAAAGTTAGGAAGAAGGAAGAGCTTTGGAAGAAAAATGACTTCAATATTGGACATGTTGAGTTTCAGATGTCTATGATTCACCCAATTCAAAGCATGAGATTGAAAATCAGTAGAGAAGGTAGGACTGGGAAGTAAATCTGAGAATCAATGGCATAGAGATGATAGTTCAATCCATAGGGCTTGATGAGTTCGCTAAACAAAATAATACAGTAGGAAAAGAAGGTCCAGGACAGAACCTTGGGAGGACATCCAGCAAAAGGGATGGAGAAAGAATGATCAGATGGGTAGGAAGAGAACCAGAAGCAATGTCAGGAAAATCTAGAGAGAAGACAGTAACAAGAAGAGTGGGATTGACAGTGTCAAAGGCTACAGAGGAGTATGGGTGTGGTACCGTTGAGAGAGGGCTGAACCTGGAATCCCAGGACCTGCTACTTATTATCTACATCATCTTGGAAAGTCACTGTACCTCTCCAGTTCTCAGTTTTCTCATCTTGATGGTAAGGACACTGGAATTTATGATACCTGAGGTCCTTTCCAGTTCTAGATCAATGATCCTCCTATTAAAAGTGCTTCAAAAACATTTAAATGCTCTACTGACATCGGCTGTCATATATTTTGAAAGAAAAATGTAGAAACAGTTTACTTCATTCCCACAACTACCTTAAAAGGTAGGATGTGTCACTCATGATCATCACACATCTGATTTCTTAAGGTTGTCTACATGAAAGGGTGGGATAGAAATGGCAAACCCATCCTTCTTGCTGTGGCATTTCTGTGGTGATTCAAAAATTCACAGATATCAGTCTTACAGTTTTCATTTCCCTCCAATGTCCCTCAAGTATCTTGATGGTGCTGTGTACTTTAGAAACTTCAAAAAGTCATTATTATCGTTGAATTCACAGATAGCTAGCATTTGATAGGAGAAATGGACAGACAACTATTTAACTTAATTTGCCGAGTTCTCCTTGTTGTTGCCCACTTTTTTCCATCGTGTCCAACTCTTCATGACCCAATTTGGGGTTTTCTTGGCAAAGATACTGGAGTGGTTTGCCATTTCCTTCTCCAGCTCATTTTACAGATGAGGAAACTGAGGCAAACAGGGTTAAGTGACTTGCCCAGGGTCATAGAGCCACTAAATATCTGAGGACAGATTCTTTACTCCATGCCTGGCATTCTATCCACTGTGCCACATAGCTGCCCCTAGAGCGTGCCTTGCCTTCTTTATTTCCTTTCCCAGAAGAACAAGGCAGAGATGGTAGTGGTCCTGTAGAAGACTTTGAACAGTATAGGAGGGCAGAAGAGGGAAAGGCCAGTACCTCAGATGACTTCAGCAACATTAAGTAGAGCAAAAAATCACACTTCCAGTAGTCAACATTTAAACACAAGTGAAAAGAAACATTTTAAACTAAGTAAGGGAAGAAGGCAGATGTTAACAACCCCGACTCTTTCCTCCAAGCTCCTGCATGTTGAATGTTTTATTTTGTGGTTTGGGACTTTGAGTTAGGTTTTGTAGTCAGAAGTTTAAAGTGATTGGAGCATTTGAAGTGGGAAGATTTGAGAAGAGTTAAAGGGCAATTGCTACTTTATAGTGGAAGAGAAAGCAGTAGATGACTCAAGACTTTTCTCCCTCTTTTTGTCAAAATTCAAACTATTCAGTATTTCCCTCAGAGATAGCAACTCTTAAACGGATGGGGATCAAAAAATGCCCTTGTTCTGTAGGATTGTTTGGCAAAGAACTATTTCAACAAAGCACCTTGATCTGCCCATCTACTATTATGAACATTGACAGGGGCAATCCTATATCGACTTGGATTTTCCTATATGAATAGTATAATGCAAATAGGGTTGCTAAGTCACAACATTTTCCTCATTTACATAATTTGTTAACTTTTTTCCATGCAAACACAAAAAATAAATTACGTAAACAAGTGAAATGTTATGGCTTAGCAACCCTATTAGTATTCTACCATCTATACAGGAAAACCCAAGTGGATAAAAGATATCTATTATCCAGACTCTGATATACAAATATATATGATATGTATACATACACACACACACATACATATATATATACATATATATGTGTGTGTGTGTGTGTGTATATATGTATATATATATATATATATATATATATATATATATGTACATACATATATACACACACACTATAGAACTCATCCAGAACAGAATATTAATGGATAATGAGCTAGGCCCATAAGTGGATGGCAGGAATGCAGTCTAGACTGTCTGGGAAGAACAAGAAGTTTCTTTTCATGGCCCTAACATTCCCTCCAAAACAAAAGCCAAACTTTTAAATAACAGTATTCTTCTGGTAATATCGTGTAGCCAGTGAGTCAAAGAATAGTACAGTTTCTTAATAGTTTAGTTGAGGGGCACCTAGACTATAATGGAAAGGAACACAATGGACATAAGCAGGTTACAACACATCAAAACAAGAAATTATGTAGAAGAAAGAATATAAAGGATGTTTCCAGGGAGCAGTGGCAAAAACAATGAATTTGGCAGAGGGTTCAGATTACCAGTTACTAATCTTAATGCAGCCTTGTCATTTACTACTTGTGTGATATCAGGAAAGTCATTTAACTTCTTTTGGCCTCAGTTTACCTATCGGATACTAAAAAGGTTAGACTAGATGGCCTCTAAGGGACCTTTTAGGTCTAAATCTATGATCCCATAATGCTATGAACAAAGGAGATGGACTAGTTCCACTGCTCCATTAACATTAAGAGATTTGGGGAACCTCCAGGATTGGGTAGAATACAAATTGTGAACTTATGGGAAAATATAGAATAATGTCACAGGATAGGGAGACATAGATAAGTTGTCATCTAGGAATGCCCATATCAGTGACATCACAGATCCACTTGAGTATGAGAGCATTAAAACTAATTATTTTAATAATAAATTATTCTTATTTACATATTAAATAACTTACAAGGTTTGTTTAGCTCACGGCATTGTTCAATCATTCCACTCCTCTAATCAAAACCTTTCAAAGACACCTTTCATGCTTTGGTAATCTGAGAGATTCTTGATTTCATCAATGTAGCCATTACCTTCGCCAATGAAGATCAAAAATCTCATCGTAGCATCTCATTCTCTGCTACTCTTTTCTACCTCTTTCAATTAATCCTCCCACAAAAATCCACCTCTAATCTGCTGGAGGCTTTGGAGAGCAAATGTAAAAAATACTGAACTTCAAGCCAACACATGAATTTGAATCTCAACTCTGCTACTTAATACCTGTGTGACTTTGGGAAAGTCACCCTCTCCAGGCTTCAGTTTCCTTCTCTGAAAAATGAGAGGATTTGACTGGATGATATCTAAGGTCCCTTCTAGCTCAAGATTTATGAACTTATGGTCTCTGATTCTGATTACATGACCACCCCCCTCCTTTCCAAGGCATATATGTCCTTGTAAATGACCTTTGAGCTCTTTTACCTCTTATTCCCAAAATATATTTTCCCAGCATAGTTTTTGAGGGTGTCCCTTTTGCCTGCCATCATATTAAAGTCACTAAATATAAAGATATGTATCAGTCACTAAGAATATTTACTGTACTATATATATATATAATATGCATATATATATATGCATATATGCATATATATATATATATATATATATATATATATATATATATGAAGATAGAGATATACAAAATCAGAGTATAAAGATTGAGGTTGAGGGTTCTCATCAAGTGCTTCCTAATCATGCGATATCATGGTGAGACTATTAGTATAACAGGCAGATGATACTTGGGTTTGAATCCCTCCTCTGACGTATTGGTTGACCAGGGGCAAGTTAGGTAAAACCTTCAAAGCTCAGCTTACTCATTGGTAAAATGGGAATCATAATGCCTGGAGTACCTACCTCACATGAGATAATGCCTGTAAAATGCTTTGTGAACCTTAGAGCTGTTCACAAATCTTGGCTGTTACTATTCATAGACTGTCTCTGCTTCATCCTTTACAAAAGATACCAGTTTATAACTTACGGTCATTTTTGTGGTGATCTAGTTGTTTATATTCATCATCAGTCCTCTAGAACTAGATGACATGTCTATGAAATAATGCTTATTTTTGCCTTTAGGTATATCATGAAGATCAAAACTTCTCTGAAAACCTACAAACAATCCATTCTCCCATTCAGCTATAACTTCTTGGGGTTTTGTTTGTTTGTTTGTTTTGTTTTATAGTGAGAACATAAATATGCATGTAGTTCATTTCTTTAAGCACCACCTCAAGTAATCATAGAATCTTCCTGTTGGAATGAACTTCAGAGACCCATCCCTGTATGGGGATTTTCTCTACATCTTCAACAAGTGTTCATCCACAGCCTTTATTTGAAGGCTTCTAGCTCCCAAGGCAGCCCATTCTACTTTTGAATGGTTCTCATTTTTAGGCAGTTATTTTTCCCTCCTATCTCAAATCTAAAGCATCCTGTCATCTACTTCCACCCAAAGCTGCTAGCTTCAGACACTTACTAGGTGTATGATCCTAGGCAAGTCACTTAACCCTGATTGGAGAGAATGAGGGAGGGGTGGGGGAAAAAGAGAAAGAGAGAGAGAGAGAGAGAGAGAGAGAGAGAGAGAGAGAGAGAGAGAGAGAGAGAGAGAGAGAGAGAGAGAGAAAGAGGTATCTTGCTACAATGGAAAGTGCACTCATCTTAGAAGCTGAACCTGAGTTCAAATCCCAGCTCAGTCAATTGGTAACTTAGGCCTCCATAAATAGAGAGGATTGAATTAAATTATCTCTAAGGTCCCTTCTAGCTCTAAATTTATGAATCTGTGATAAATCTAACCCCTCATCACACGACAGCCCTTCAGATACTTGAAAACAGCTATCATATGTCCCTGGGGCAACTAGGTGGTGCAGTGGATAGAGTGCCCAGCCTGGAGTCAGAAAGACTCTTCTTCCTGAGTTCAAATCTGGTCTCAGATACTTCTTAGCTGTGTGACCCTGGGCAAGTCACTTCACCCTGTTTGCCTCAGTTTCTTCATTTGTAAAATGAGCTGGGGAAGGAAATGGCAAACCACTTTAGTATCTTTGCCAGGAAAACCTCAAGTGGGTCCCATAGAGTCAGACACGACAAAAACAGCTGAACAATAACAACAATGCTATGTCTCTTAGATCTTTAATTCTCCAGGCAATACATTCTGTATTTCTTCAACCGAACTCCATATGTTCTCAAGGCCCCTCAATGTCTTGGTTGCCTTTCTCACCTTTATTCATCTATTATGTTCAGATAACATATCCCTTTGAACCTGCCCTGTCTTTCCCCATTCCCACAAAAACATAAATTGTGTTGGAATTGTCCTCTTCCTTCAAAGACCAGTTTAGGTGTTACCCACTCCATGAAGTTCTCCTTGATACCCATTTTCTTTTTCCACTTCCTCCCTAAACTAAAAGTAATCTCTTCCTCCTCAGAACTTTTATATCATTTTATTTGTATCACTCCCAGGCACTTATTTGTATGAGTTAAATGTGAATGTATCTTATCTCTGCCCCTCACCACTGGAAAATAAACTCCAGGAAGACAAGAAGCTATACTAATCATCTTTCTATATTTCATAGCACCTACCACATATATGATGTGCATATAAAAAAAAAGCATTCAAGAGAAGTGTGCTGAATTGAATTAAGGGCTTGTGTTCAAATCATGGACAATCTTACATTGTAGAGGAAAAATGACACATGCAGAGTGCTAGTAAGTACCAGAACTCAGATCTTCCCAGCTACAGGTTCAATATAATATCTCATACACCACTTTACCTTTCTACTACTGTAACTGCATTACTTTTCTGAGCACAAATACTCACCCATTCATGATTTCTTTAGTGCCATGGACAAAAGCAGCCCAGAGTACTAAGACTTGGCTGGGTTAGAATCTACCGGGGTGGAGCACTCACATCAATGACTTTACAGATCCTGACATGACTAAAGGTTATTGATAGGTTTCAATAATTCATACTTGTTTCTTTCCTCCTCACCCCCCTGAAAGCTTTAAGCATATTTGCATTGCATCTGAATACCCTGAGGTACAGGTTCAAATGAATAGTCAATTGTACCATTGTAGAGTACTGGCAATCAACAAGTTACTGAAAGAACAGGAAGAATGGAGAAGTTAGTAACAGCAGCCAGAAAAGGCTGGAAATCAGAGGAGGACAATAATAGTGAAAATGGCAGTCCTACGGGAGAGAGAAATAGTGGTGGAGAGATGAGGGATTTAGAGTGATCTGACAGGGAGATATAGGAAAGGGAGGATTAAAAGGAGCAAATAGGAGAGAAGCTGGAAGGGTATTGTACAAAGGTTCTAATTCAATTAAAATGTTATAAGTAAGACCATATTTTAAGGAGTCCTCACTCTTATTTTACCTTCAAATATGGCAGGAGAAAAAGGGAAAGTTATAATAGGAGAGATGCAGCTACGCAGCAAGGCAAAGAGGCTAGACCATATGTCATATCAAAAATAAGTCACTTAAGACTTGCACAAAATAATGAAGAGTGAAATGAGGAGAACCAAGGGAACATTGTACACAAGAACTGCAATATTGTTCTAGGAACAGCTTTGAACAACTAAGTCATTTTGAGTATTATAAATATTCAAATCAGCTACAAAGGACCTATGAAGGAAGATGTTATCCACATAGAAGAAATATATATATACATATATATGTATGTATATATACATGTATACACACACACACACATACACATACATACATATGTATACATATTTGTGTCTAAATAATAGCCTTTTCTGTGGTGGGGTGAGGAGAGAGAAAAAAAGTACACAGCAAAGAACAAAAGAAAACTTAGAAGGAAACGCAGAAAAGCAAGGTAGTTTTAAAAATGACATGTAGTATTTATTACATAGTTTTTCAAAAAAAGTAGAGTATGAAATGGAAATTCATGGTTTTATACTGAATCCTCTTTTTATGTTGTGCTATGTATATGTTCTCTCTTTTTTTGTCTTTTTGTAGTTAAGTTCAAAATAAATAAAAATTAAAAAAAGAAATGTCACTCAAATTGACCAAACTGATGAAAAGTGGCCCTTGCCGTTAAGTACCATTAGTACAGCCTCATAAATATAGCCATTTCATAGTTTTGGCCTTGTTCCTTCTGCTCATTGTTGGTCATTAGAATTCAGACTACTTTGAGTGTGTTCCGTCAACTTACAAAATGAAACAGCTGAATGAGATCATCCTTGAGGTTCCTCAAGCTCTTGAGATCTTGGTAATTCTGTGAAGACATAATATCAATGGATGTGTAAGTTCTAGCCCACAATATTAGATGCATTGAGAGCTATTGACAAAAGCAATTCAAATAAAGAAAAAAAAAAAACAGAGGCCTGGGATCAGAGTACCCAAATTCTGAAACCAGTATTTACTTTTGGTTTGAACTCCATCCTCACCTTTCTCTGGTCCTCAGTCTCTCCATTGTTAAAATGAACAAAATCATTGTCCAATCTACCATTTATACATCCAGGTGTACTCTTTTAAAAGTATCAGTCTCATTACCAAACACTCACTTGTGCTCTCAGGTTTTTTTCTTTTCCCTTTTTGAGACGCTTTTAGAGAAAAAGCTCCAGCCTCTGGGCAAACTGAATTGGATTAGTAGTTAGACTCCTACGATATCAAGGGCTGCATTTTTACAAAACCACATAATCAGTTTAAATGATTTTGTTTTTAGTGGTTTGATTAATTCTTTGATTGGTTTTCTGACTGAATTGACACAGCTGGCCAATAGTTTGGTGTCTAGTAGACTCTAGGCTTAAGTTGAAAGAGGCAAAGAGATAGTGAAACCACTGGAAATTTCAGTAAGTTGAACTGGTGCAGCCTGGTAATATTTGAAACCTATTACTCTTTTTTGAAAAAGTCCATTTTAATAAGGTTAACTGAAAATAATATTGTGAAGTATTAGAACCCTTATTTTATATCCAGTGGATCCTAAATAATCTCTGTAAATACTTGGCTAAAGTTACTATTTCAATCTATCAGCTTTCATTTGATACCAAGGATTTCATTTATATCAAGGTCTCAACCAAGCGATTATAAAACTCTATGTTTCTTCATATAGATTCACTGCATGTTTTGAATATTCTGAATATTTCTTTTTCATTTAAATGAACTGGTTTTAATATGCCATGTCATTTTCATCACTTGGGTCACTTTTATATATGCTATTCAGAATTAGACAGCAAACAAACTACAGCATTGAAAATAAATGAGTCAGGAATTTGTTTCTGATCAGAGCTTTAAGTTTTCATTTTAACTAGACAAAAAAGATATGAAGGGTTTCCAAAATGGGGCCATTGAAAGAGGTTGTTTTTTCTTCCTACTATATGACAACCATTAAGAAAAAATTATAGCATGCACATATACATACGTAAATATATACATATATATTTGATGATATAAAAGATTAATATGGGTTAAGCAATTAGGAATCATAGGAATATCTCAGCATTAATATTGTACCTCATAAAGCACATCTCTGATTTTAGAGTCAAATTTTGTTCTGTCTCACAAACCTGGCAAGATCCAATTTTTTATTGTAAGTTACTTACATTTTAAAAGCTCAGTTCTGAAATGAAAGGGTTTGAAAACCTCTATTTAAACAAAAGCTATTAGTCTCACTTTACCTGAATCTTAATAAAACACTGATATTCTTGAGTCACATGTTTTAGGTCATTGTCTCAAAAGTCTCTATTTTGGTCTCAGTGATCGCAAGGAATTGACAAATTCTAAGTTTGAAAAAAAAAATGTGAAGAAAACCCTTCCAGTTCATAAAATAAGAAGACAGGATTTAAGATTAATGACATACAATATTCCTCATTTTAATAAAGCAAAAATTAACTTTTTTCTCTGCTCACTTTTAACATGATGGCAATGAATATTATCTACCACCTCTTTGTGTTTATTATTTGTGCAGTAATTAATTATTCTTTTTGTATCTTGAAAATGTATCTTGAGATTCTCAGGTTAAAAGTACTAGTGTGATATGGCATAGATTACTTTTCATCCTCAATCATTATTTTCATTGGCAAGATTTCTGGATGATAAAATTTTAATGTAAATATGAGTTTAAGAAGACTTAAATTCCAATAGCATCTAAAGATAGTATTTTTCTTAAATACTAAACAGAAGCTACATGGTAGACTAAATGTGTCTGGTTTTTAATAATGTTTGAGTAGTGAGAAATTCATTAACCAATATTTTAGTCACTGAGCTAATATGGAAGATATTCGCTATTTATTCTCATCTAAGCACTTTCATTTTATTTCTTATTTTCTCAGGAGGTAGAAGGTATTTAGAAAAGACTTAATTTTTTTTTTTTGAACTATCAAAGACATTCTCTCTTCTGGGACCTCCTTCACTTTCTCACTCACTGTATGTTAACATACTTCACAGACAGTAGTGAAATGAACCCAAAATGCCAACTTAAGATTTGCATTATAAATAGAGACACAAAAGGATATATTTTTGAAACTTTTGGTTGATCTGGCATATCAAAGATGTCTTTCTAAGCTACTTCAGTCACTTCATTGAAGTGAACTGAAAGCATTAACTTAAAAGTAGCAAGGAAAACGGCATGCAAAAAATTATTTCAGTAGAACTCTTCAGTACGCTATGTGAATATCCTCTCCCCCTCTGAAATGCTTCCTCCCCCCCCCTTTCTAAGTCTCATGTCTACTCCATCAGTATTGGGCAAGGTGAAAATCTGAAGTTCATCAAATTCATTTCTAAATCTAGTTCTGGGAGTCTCTCTTTAGCCAGTCATTCCACTAAAATCAATGTCCCCATTGGAGTCCAGTCTGTTTTCCTTATCTTGGTCAAATTTCCAAACAAAGTTTCAAGGAGAATTGTTTGTCAGTAATGGGGCTGACCTATAAGTAAAGTGACTTTGCTAATCTTGCTCTTAGCCCTGTATCCTCAGCTCTTACAGTACATTAGGAAAATGTATGGCCTTCTTCTGACTCCCAAAGCCATGCCTTGCAACCTCCTGAAAAAAAATATCCCCACTTCATATTTACTCAAATTGCCAATGTCAGGCAAGTTGATTGAAAACTGCAGAAATTAGTTATATCCACCCCAAGAGTCAAACAGGAACAGGGATCTGGCACATCTGATAAGTACTTCAAACTTGAACTTGTTCAATTACTCATTGTAGATGTGTGTTTCTCAAACTGTAGGTTGGGCCCTGCAAAGGAAGTATCAGGGAGTTTGAACATAAAGACTTGAACTTTAAAACTCACTTTTTTCCCCCATTTCATTTGAGAGGTGCAGGGGTGGGGGTGGGGGGGTGCAATAGGTATTAAGTGACTTGCCCAGGGTCACACGGCTAGTAAGTGTCAGAGGTGGGATTTGAACTCAAGTCCTCTTGACTCCAGGGTTGGTGTTCTATCTACTATACCACCTAGCTTACCCTTACAAAAGTTACTCTTTTTTTTTTTTAGAAGTTACTCTTAAACAGCCATTATGCAATGGAGAAGGTTGACTCTGGGTTAGGTTCTTCAGTACATAACCTTTCCTTATCTTTTAAGATTTGCTGTGATGGTACATCTACAACTGTCCTTTGATGGTGGCAGTGCTCATAAGGAAAACCATAGGCTTTCTGTTTCTTTAGGGGACTTTTGAGAGTAGTGAGGCATGTGGAATTTGGGATTGTCCACTTGACCCAGTGTCTCAAAGTTTTACCCTCATACTACTAGGATGGTTTTGGACAAGTTACTCCACTTTTCTGTTAATTCACCGACAAAAAGGAGGCAATAATAATTTCACTAACTACCTTACAAGCTAGTTATAAGGATCAGATAAGATCATGGAAGTAAGGCATTTGTGACCTTAATGTGTCATTAAAATATCAGCTAACATGATGAAGGTTGTGGGGGAGCGGATATTTAGACCATGATTACATATTTAGCATTGGAAAAGACCTCAGAGATGATCTAGTTCAATGTCTTCCTTTTACAGATGAAGAAACTGAGGCCCAACAAGGCCGAGTGGCTTGCCCAGTTTAAGTGGTGGAGCCTGGACTTGAATCCAGGCCCACTGACTCCAAATCTGGAATGCTTTTTACACCCTCTCTACCAGCACTGGAATATTGAATCTGGAATCAGAGGACCTGGGTTCAAAACCTAGCCTTGCCGCATATTACCTACACGTGACTTTGGAAAAGTCATTTAAATTCTTTGAGTCTCCATTTCTCCAACTATGAAATGAAGAGATTAGACTAGATGACCTTTTCAAGTCCCCTTGAGCCTATGATCTATGCTCCTCCAAAAAACATGAAACACTATCACATGTATGGAGGACAGAAGATCAATCCTTTGTCGACTAATTAAAATAAATACATGGCATCATTCAATGTCATCTGTACAATAGATCTGCACTCAGCAGAGTTCTTTTCATAACAATATTTAATGCCACAAATGAGCATTTTTGTTTTCATTGTATTTTTTTGTGAGTTGATATTATTTGGGTTTTTTTGTAGGCAATTGGGGTTAAGTGACTTGCCCAAGGTCACACAGCTAGCAAGTGTCAAGTGTTTTGTCTGAGGTCAGATTTGAACTCAGGTCCTCCTGACTTCAGGGCCGGTGCTCTCTCCACTGTGCCACCTAGCTGCCCCTTTGTGAGTCGATATGAGCAACTATTAAGGAATACATCTTGGCTTACGGTAGAATGACCATAGATGGCCAAGAAGGACGTCACTACTCCTACACAACATTGCAAAATTGTGCACTGTTCTTTACATCTAATAGAAAAACTCATACTATGTAATAACATGTAATTGTTTTCCAGTTTGTTTTTAATTTATTATTTCCTTAAATATTCAGAGTGAGGAGCATAGATCTTTAAGTAAAAGAGATTTTGTCAGTTCTTTCTTCCATGTATGTTACCCTTGATAGCTACATCCAATTTTTCCTCATGGTCACCCCACCCCATCCACTGCCTCATAAAAAAAAAGAACATTAAGTTGACAAAAACTTGATAAAATAAAATTAACATTAAATTGTGGATAATGCTGATGAAGGGAGATGCTAGTGCTGACATTTAGCAATGTGGAGCTTATTAGGACAGAGGTACATCTGTTTCAAATTAAGTCAAGGAACAGAGTGTGTGATCGTTTCAACTTCAGAAATGGAATTCATTTTTCTTAGGTGGTTCAAGATGCATAGATAAGATGTTAAATGTAGGTGGGTAAAGACATTGTCCCCCCAGCTGCCATAATGTCTAATTTG